AGCTACAAATACAAATGCAACTAGAACTACACTACATTACACAGCACTACACTGCACTAATTACATTTCATTACACTACAACTGCAACTACCACTACATTGCACTACACGACACTGCACTACAACTAAGCTAGTTTACACTACAATACACTGGGCCACACAACACTATACCACGCTACAGTACGCAAGACTACAGTACACTACAATACACTACACTAATTACACCACACCACGGCTACAACTGCAACTGCAACTACACGACACTAATTACATCACATTACAACTATAGCTTAAAACTACAACTCCACTAAACTACAACTACAACTACAAGTGCGACTACTGCGCTACACCATTACTACAAGTACTACAATTAAGACAATTACAACTTCAACTACACTACGACTACGGCTACAACCACAACTACAACATTATAATTACAACAACAACTACTACTACTACTACTATTACTACCACTACAACTACAACTACTGCGCTGCACCGCACTACATCCAGGAGTTGTGAGTGAGGTGACCGCTGCAACCATTGCAACCACTCCTAAAAGCACAACTCCAACCACCTTTCGGTCCATCAGTGGATTCGCTCTGCCATCCGTGAGTCACAACAACCAACCCTTCCTATAGGTTTCCTATTTTTGAAACTTCCGCCACCGCCTTGTGCGGTACTACTGGTATATGCATATGCATGCATGCACATACACATACACATAGGCATACGCATACATATGCACATACAAGCACACACACATACATACACATACATACACATACATACACATACATACACATACATACACATACATACACATACATACACATACGCACATACATATACACATGCACCTATACATACATGTTACAAACATACTCATACACATAATTGCATATATACATAGATGTAAATACATTTAAAGATGTTTACATATATACATATTGGAATTTACATATGTACATATTTTCATATTTATATACCTATATACACATATACATATATACAAATATTTACATATATATATATACACATATACACATACATACATGCATATACGTATGTTTATTTATACATACTTACAAAACTTATACATTAACGTATACCTAATACCTATACCTATACATATTTATATATTTTATTTTTATATGTATGAACCCCAGCCACGTTTTATTTTTCAATTCAACATATGATTCAATCTGTTGCTGTTGCCCTTTTCAGTGCTAAGGAGACGATTTTTCGATGCTCTAACGGGACACGGTTTCAAAGCTACTGGCCTGCAACGGTCGGACGGGACACGAGGCCAAGGATGATGATTTCTAATCATCAAAATGGTGGACACAATCCAAAATGGTGGATTGAAGCAGCACCAGAATTGGTGATTGGAGCACCACCACAATTAGGTAGCATCCCTAATTGGAGGTATATTAGGCCTCGGGGTTTGCCTTGTTTCCGCTGATTCTATGCAATGCTGCTGGTGACTGGCATTGTGGGGAGGGAACTCAATCCTCGTTACCTACGGACGCTACCTATATATACTATAAATGGATACTGAAAACAAATATTATGTGTACGTTTGTGTACGTCTATATTTAAAATATATATATATACACATAAAGAGAGAGAGAGAGAGAGTAGAGAGAAAGAGAGAGAGAAAAAAGGTTTGTTTGGCATCCCTGGATTGTTGATCTTAATTGACCTGCTGGAATGTTTGGGATGGGTTGAAACATGCAGAATCTAGCCAAGCAGGTGGGTCATGATCATCATGATCATAGCCAGCTGTTGGTCGCAAGGGCGAATATTTAGTGATTTGGAAATTCGACGAACTCATGTTGACTTAATATTTTACCCAAATTGCAACGTGTTATTCCAGTTTGCCTTAGTTCACCCAGATTTTCGCAGTGCCGATGTTGAAACCCAGGTGAAAGCCTTGGAAGTTCCGATGGACTTGGTGGAGGCGTTTTTGGGTGGTGCCATGGGGGACCCCAAACCCAAACTTCTCAATTTTTTGTGATTTGTTTGGTGGCCAATGAGGCACTTCAGCTTTGAGAAACACTACAATATAACTCATATAATGGTTAGCAGATGTTTGTTTTTCTGGTTTGTGTTTTTTCCTAATTTGACCGGATTCTATGGCAGTCGGCCAAACTTCCGGGCCTTGAAACTCATAGTTTTGCCCTGAGCCAAGGTACAAATATGATGCATACATGGGAATCCTATTTGGATTCACTATGTTTGTTTTAACTTATGCTTGTCTTGTGAGCAGCTCACCCGTGCCAAGGATGCTGTTCAAAAAGCAAGTCATTCCCAGCCAGGATCTTCCCCAGAAGGAGCTACGACTCTGGGAGGCCGCACAAAATGGTCGGCAAACTGGGGGATTGTAGATGGTCACTTGGTAGGCCATGAGGAAATCCAAGATTTGGATGGCTAGATTTCGGCTAGCGGCTAGAAACTCAAACTCAACATGAGCAATTCTATTGAGCCATGCCCAACTTTGGAGATACGCTCAGTCTTTGGTATGGTTGGAAGGACGGCTTTAAAATATCCCAAGTCATGTTTCCGCCAAAAGGATAATTTAAACATAAAGGACTTCCAGCAGCGCACATGTCTTCCAGACACATGTCTGACTCTGATCCTATCCCATCCTACCTGGGAAGATTCCACTTGTTGACGACGGTTTTCGTTCCTGAAATCCCAATGAATTGTTTTCCTGGGATGATCCATGAGGACCCCATCTGTAGTCAACTCAAAGCAGCAATTTTTTTGCTAAAGCTGGTCATGATTCAGGACCTTGAACCCCGCAGGTCCAGAGGTGTACCAGTGCAAGCGCCGTCGGGGAGGACTTGGAGCCATCATGGGGTCCTGGGGAGGACCGCGAGAGAAACAAGTCGCGGTGAAGATGTTTTGGTTATGTTTGGTTTAAGATGTGTTAAGCATTTGAAGCTTCAGATGGCCTTTGGTTGGTGGCTGGAAGAATTTGCTAGACTATCATTCTTGTGTCCAAAACTCACAAGATCACAGGAACATGACATAAATCACACGGCAGTGTGTCAGTCCCAAGCATCAAACACAAACATCAAGACAGACATAGCCATCCCAGCCTTCCTTTAACATCCCAAAACATCAACATCTTAGGTCAAGAATGTCAAACAAAATGGATCTTGCAGGAGACATCACTGGAAGATGGGCTCTATTTGTAGCCAAAAAAAAGACTGGCAGGTGGTTGCCACAAGATTTGATTTTGATTCGGTAGCTATTTGAGAAGCCTTTGATATATAATAGGGATTGACTCTGGTGGAGCAGTTTTGAAGCCCCGAAAATTCGTAATGTAGCTCAGCTAGCCTCTACATAGTAAGTGGGTCATGTCGATTTAATATGATCGAACCTTCTCGTGCCGGTCTATAGGACCAGGGTTCACGGACCAGGGTCTGGGCTGACTAAGTACTCATGGAAATCCGGCAAATCCTCCTATTTCAAACTAGCAAGCAACTAGCAATCAGCCTCATGTATCCTCATGTCATGACTGGAAGGGCTTGAGGTGGGTACGGGTCAAAATTAAAAATCTGGGGCCACAGATTTAAGACTATTTTTCGTATTAACCATCAAATTCTTGGGATACCCCGCAAGGCTACCAAGGTAGCTTGAGGTCTCCAATTTGCCATCGCCTCTTCGGCTCAAGTGCCAGCACCCCGGGGTCGCCCAGAACTGTGGCCTCCGGGCCTGGGGTCTCAGTGGCTCAGTGGGCGTTCCTTGCGGACCAACATGTCGACCAGTCAAAGCCTAAATCAGGACCAATATGGAGCCCCGTCAACGACACTTTTCTAGATGTTTCTATACATGTTTCAGCTATACATATTCTTGACATTGTAAGAATGCAGAAGTTGTATTGACCCGTGACCCCAAGAAAATCTTGAGAGATCTAAGCCTGATTTAACTTCGTGTGGCTGGGCCACCGGCAAGTGATTAATGTGCTTACCCCAGGTGTTTCAATTCCTTCTGGGGACTATGTTAGAAGATCAAGCGAACATACTTCTGAACATATGTGCACATTTGCAGCATATATTGTGCAAAGCATATTGCTGTATGTCCATATATCTACGTGCACGTTGTAAGTACTCGTACCATAAGTACCACTCTTTATGAGCACTTAAATGGTCTAGATATGCCTTGATATTCTGCAATTATGATCGGTGGACTGATTTTTGAGCCTGAAGACATGAGGGAGATGGTGCCTACAATTTTTGCAGTCCTACGTAAGTCATGGATGGTGTCACCTGTTCTATCTAGTGGACATGTTGCCATAAGTCGCCCCTACTGTAGTATCAGCCGACGATGGCAAAGCCTTGTTGAAGGATGTGAATCCGCTGCCTACGGACTACTGTAACAGCTGACGACAATTTCGGCTGCTGGTGAACCCTAGTGGTATTTCTTTAATTTTCTAAATGTTGTGCGAGAGTTTCACTTGTTTCTTGGTTGAGAATCGCTGTTTGTTAAAAAGTTGTCTCTTCAGGGGCTGACATCGACAGGTCTGCCCATATGAAGCTATTGACCCACAACCTCTTGAAATGCCGTGCTGACGTGTTTGGTGATGGGTGGATGGTCAGGAGCAATGAGATGTCCCATTTGGACCCCCGCAAGAAAAAAGCGGAAGACTGCGGAAGGAAGTGGCTAGTATAACTACAGGGCCCTCAAGGCAAAGACATAGCCGCTGCGTGTCCAGGTAATAAGAAAGGGGTCACGAATGGTTTCCCGCTGATCATTAGAGCGGTCACCATGAAGTACGAGGACGGGACTAGTATCGCCCACTGACCTGCAGCCTCCAAGTGCTTGGATGTGAACCTCAGTTCCGGGTACACCGTTGTGCACCAACATGTGCAACATGTTCCTATCACTGGATAGATCAGGGATCTTCGCTCATGTCATAGATGAGGCTGTTCATTTTCGGAAAGCCGCTCGGTACAGGAGACGCCCTACGAACAAAGCTTTGTCAGTGCCATGGTCCCAAAGTTGGAGTATGACGCACTGCTGAAGGCCCCAAGGGCATCTCCAGGGCCGCGCTGTCGCGCTGTGAGGATTTCAACATGACAAGTCTGACCAGTCTGACGCGCAGGCCCTGGGAGAGATTCGAGACTGCAGCAATTTCGAAGGCATTGAGAAGCCCCGGACCTCAGTCTTCGTGAAGTTCGTTGAGCAGTGCTGCAGTGCTGCAGTATGGGGAAGCGGTATTTTCGGGTCAGGATCCAACAATAAGTCATAGAATTTCACTGGAATGTATGAGAAAAAATTAGGATGTCCACTGGAATTCCTATGAATATCATGAATTAAGAAATGATTTGGTTTGATTTTTTCTTTTAAAAAGTCCATTCGTCCATTCGGTATTCCATCGGGGATGACTTCCAGGCTGGGAAAATTTCCGACCCTGCCGTTGGCCTTGCCTCCAGACCATGCATCTTGGTGCCAATCTCCCCAGCCGTGAATACTAGGGGTGATCATCCCCGAAAACGGCGCAGCTTGCTAGCTTGCTATTTACATATATATATATATATAATGTAGTTATATAATGTATATGTTAGTGTATATATATATATGATACATATATATATATATATAAGTATAGGCACATATCACATATATATATATATATATTATTTAGTGTGTGTGTGTGGACGGAGCAGGTAAACCATCACTGTTTTTTCCAGAATCACATTTTCTACCACAAGTGGATGCTTCAGGTGCGCGGTCGGTGTGGTTTTGCTTAGGTGCCAAGCTCCCAAGTTCCCATCATTCCCAAAGGTGTTTATTGCGGAGAGCCAAGGAGAAGAATGAGGAATTCTTGAAGCAGTTACATGCATGGAGCCCTGGACCTGCGCAAACTTGCCCCCAAACTCGCTAATGATGACTGACATTTTGGCTGTAAAATGTTTTAATACACACATATATATATATATATATACATATTTCTATATGTATATATATATATATATATATTGTATATGTACTCTTTTTCAGACATATTGAACTGTTATTACGGTATCAATTTGAGATTATATGCTTTCATTTTGAACATTGATATATTAATGCGCTTATTGCTTTATCTTAACTATGAGAATATAATGATTATGATGGTAACTTGGGACTACGGAGGATGACTACCAGCGAACTACACTCCTTTCAGATGCAGATACTCAAGGGTCTTCAAAGAGATCCAAAGACCGTAGAATCATTGGGTATGTCTGCAGATGGTGAACCCGATTTTTTGGAAAAATTCTTTTATAGGGAACATATATGAGTAAGGTCATTACAATCCATTAGTTTTTGGGGTACCCTGATGTCAGACAAAGATATTTCCATGGTGCTTCACATGGCGGGATGGTTCAATGGATACTCATTCACTGTTTCACTGTGTATGATGTGCATAACTGGGTCGCTTGAAGGGTGCCACCTACTCCCGCGGCATCCCTACACTGAGTATCCGCAGATGGGCGTAGCACGTGCAAACATAATTGAATACGGAACACCATAAATTCATGTAAAAATCAAACATAATAGGGCCACTGAAACTCCATCTCTTGTGTTTTTTCATGTTCAAAATTCTCTGGAAATTTGATTGGTTTTGGTTAGCGGTTAGCCAAACGGCGGTTAGCCAAACGAACAGATCCAGTGATCCAACAACTCACCGTGGCTCCTTGGCTCGCGGCTCCAGACGGTTCTCTTCGACTTGAACTTGATCGAAGGTCAACTGGTCTGTGCGGCGTCCCAGTCAGGTCCAGGGAACGTCGGCGCCCGAGATGCTGGAAGAAACAGCTGGAAACTGATGTGGACTGAATTTCTGAAGCATTACATAACATTACATAACTAAGTTTTCCGGTGATGACAGTCATTACGTTTAGACTTTTTGGTAGCGCCCGGCTGCAGTCGTACTGGGAAAGTCAGTGTGTGCCGCGTTCAGGAGGCTGATGGTTGAGTTTACTACATTCGCCATGGCTTCCATAACGGTTAAACTACCAGAGAGTAAATCCCAAACTATATCATATATCATGTGATAGCCCCATGATATCCTATCTCCATGTCATTAAGCATGAATACAACATTCATGGGGTATCATCAAACCATTGTTAGGTAATATATGGTAATATTATCAATATTAAGTTAATATGTTTTCATATGAAGCCATATTGTAACAACCATATTTTGTCATCAATGTCATGCCATATTTGGTTGGTGGTTTGGAACATGAATTTTATTTTTCCATCTATTGGGAATGTCCTAATCCCAACTAACGAACTCATACTATTCAGAGGGGTAGGTTTACCACCAACCATATATATATATATATACATATCCATATTATAAGGGTTTCCATTGTGGGATGGATGTGAAAATGACATAGCACCATCAACCGATAAACCCTCCATAAATCCTCCATAAATCCTCCAATACAAATCCTCCATAAACCCTCCGTAATTATAACTAGTTATTTAATATAAATCATGTG